AGGGACTGGTTTCTGCTGTCCTGTCAACTCCCTTGATGGTGAAGGTGGCTAGACATTCTGCCTGGATACATTGCAACCATCTGAAAGCAGGACCCCCTGTGGACGTCAAAAAGGACAAATGGAAGGTTATCAGCCAACTAGGTGACCAAAAGCTAAGATTGGAGCGGGTTGGAGGTGTTTCATCTTCATGATAATATTCTCTGGGACACTGGCATTATTGCCCCCAAAAGGACTAGATCACACAAAAAATGTATGGATTCAATTGGCAAACTCGCTTAACTTGTCTAAATTCTGCTTAAATGTTGATGTAGATTTCCATTATGTGCTGGGAAGCTGTCTCATTCCAGTATGCACCTCTTTAGAATTAATACGACCCTATACCCTATTTAAGGACATCCCAGGAAAAAATCTTACTTACCTGGATAGATATAATTGGGGGCATGACACCTGCCATAAACCTAAAAATGCTGTCAAATTATATACACCCAAGGTAATTATGTCAAACAAAACTGAATGTGCTATGTATGAAAATTGTACAACCAAATGTCTGAGGATAAAAACAGTCAGAAGGGATGTCCTGCCATATAAAACAAAGAAATTGTGTTTAACAATTGCCATATCTCCCTTCCCACAAGATGGTTTTATACCTGTGAAAGGATAACCTTTAATTATATTCCAGCAAATTTAACTAAGACCCGTTGCTGTTTGAGTCGTCTAGCTGTAGTGTTGCCAGTCTCGTTCATCAGAGAACGCATTAACACTGTACAGCTGATGGTACTCAGGTCCCAATACCAGCCAGTCTCTACAGACCTAATAAAATTAACCCCCAGAGGCCCATGATTGGTCCTCTATAGCATCATGAGAAGGGGGGAATGTGAGACCAAAGCGACTCCATTTTGCTAAAATCCACCATTCCCCTAGCCTCTCAAATTAATGGTCAAAATGTGTTTGCTCTGGGACAGAAGATACAATCTGTAACAAACCAAAGTTCCTAAGTTAATTACTCAGCCATCTGTTTGCCCAGGAAATGAACATTCTGGGCCCCCTATCCATAGAACAATCTGTAGATGTGCTGACTGTCAGTACATAATGGTCGTGACTAATAGTCAGTGTGTCTGCTGACCATCAGTACGTGACAGTCGACCACCAACCTTTGCCCCTCATTTCCCTCATAAAACCTACATGTAGCCACCCCTCAACCCCCGATGTACCTAGCCAATCAGAAATGTATACTTCATGCTCGCTAATTGTCAACCAATCATGTAACTGCTAAGTGAAAAATCTCCAAACCTTGCTGTAACCTCTATAAAAACCCCGCTAATTTGAAATTTGGGGCTCTCAATTCTGATCCACTGTGTCGGTGATGGTTGAGAGCCCCTGCTTGAGCTTGAATAAATGACCCTCGTGTGCTTGCATCGGGAACGGCTTCCTGGTGGTCTTTGGGACTTCACTATCTGGGCACAACAATGTCAGAGCACACCCCAAGATGCATCCATAGCTTGCTATTTACCCTCACCTATGACCTGGACCCACCAAATGCCAAGCACAGAGCTAGTCTAGAGACACCAAAATACAGAGCTATTTCAACCTGGAAGCTCAGTGGTCAGGAATATAAATTTCTATTTGGAAACCAAGAGCATCTATAAGTTTACCATTTATCAACCACTCTTTTCTGGTTGAAAGATTTGAGTCTTGATTTTTTTCCATTTCTGTATGTGAAGTTAGTGTGTTTTCAGAAGGTTTTGTAAGTGGTAAATCATAGCAGGAGATTCAGGAGCTGAGTTACTTACAAAAATGCCTGCAGGCCTGATCTCTGGCTACAGTCAAAAACTACAGTAAATAAATAACACTCAGATTTCCAGATGTGTGAAAACCAGCAAAGTGTAAAGATGAGAGATCTCCTAGCCCCAAGGGTTTGAAAGTTTTATCTGATGCTCATGGCTTTTACCAAAGTGCTCCATAATTTGCAATGGGAATACTTTATATTAACAAGATGGCATTGCCAAAGCTTCACATTATCCAAATCTGGATGTGCTTGGAAGAGGTGAACCTGGGAATGCAATGAGGCTTAGGAGGAGTTATTTTAAAGCTCTGAGTGAATTTCTATAAGGGCTACCTGCTATCAACATGGCTGTAATTATTGCTTTCACTTGCACAGATCAGAATGGAACCCATTACTCACCATGAGTAAGCTATTGGACAGCATTTTCTTGTGTGATTTACCAGAGGAAATGCATTTTCTCTAACGTGCTTTTCATTCTGCCCATGTTCTCCTCAGACTCTTTCTCCTTCTCCCTTTATATGCTATTTCTTCACTCACTCTCCAGATTTTATATTCTTCTTTTATCTTGGATTAGTCTCAATATATAAATGGACTCTTTAAGAGGTAACATAGAAAGGTGTTTCTTCATGCAACTTCAGACCTGTGCTTATTGAGTCTCTTACTGAAAGTTCTGCAAGGTGGTAAGGGCCCATTCAGACCTGAGAGCAGCCTGAGGCATAACCTAGACTATTCTTCCTAGGATATTTTCCAGCACAAAAATCAACACCATCTCTGGGGAGACTCAGGTTGCAATTCTGACTAATAAGGAGAGATTCCATCTAAGTCACGCTGCTCCCACTGAGGACATTCCTGGACCCAATCTACCTTCTAATGGGAAACATGCTTTTCCAGTGGCTGATGTATCTGACCAGATGGCCAAACAGAGCTGGTAAATCTTAGAGGACTAAAAAATTATTTGAATTTTAAAAAGGCAGCCCAAAATAATAGCCTCAAAGTTTTCTTCTCTAGTTCCTTAGCAGTCATTGTTGTCCATGATGCAAGGATGATAAAGTTTATCTCTAAGGCATTTATAGTAATGTTCATGGTGTGAAATCAGTTTATAATGCACTTCACAAATGCACATCACAATCTCCACAATCATTGAAATAAAAGGTCCAACAACCATAAGCTTCAAACTCCACCCTGTGTGACTTTGAAGACAAATCCCTTTTCCAGCCAACTTCAATCCATGGGCATGTTGGGTCCCCTTAAGCCCACCCCAGAGAAAAGTTCTCTGTGGCTCTTATTCCTGAGTTAGGGAGAAATCAAGGGAAGCAAAAAGAGATTTTTGTAGAAAGTTTCCAACTAAAATCCATTGCAGCACTCAGGTTCACATTTGTGTCTGGTAGATAATGTGAATGTGTGTGTCCAGCTCCAGAGCAGCTCTCAGGTGGCTCTGCTGACTGATTCATCCAGTGTTCTTGAAGCTACTCCTATGTGAAAGTGAAGGGGACAAAGAAGCTTTTAGAACTCAGGAATAGTGCTTTGGATTTAATTTTTAAAAATCTCCATCTTCCTTCTTAGTCTGTAACTTTCTTTTATTTTTTTGTAGCTAATGCTAATGGATCTGTCTCTGATCTCCAAAGAGACTCTTCATTCAGATTGGACTTGTAACTACCCTAAAGCATGCCATAAAATCTTTTGGCTCTCTTTCCATCAAAGGTGAGGGCTTCTCTCTCTCCTTGATTGGGCATAGGGGGAGGGCTGTGATTACTTTGATTTGTGAAGCATCATGGAAGTGATACTCTGTGGCCTCCATGGCTGGATATAAAAACTCACGTTTACAAAAACACTTGTTCTTGGAGCTCTGAAGTCTGCCCACCCTGGAGGAAGCCCAGGCTGTTCTCCAAGACCACATGTAGGTTCTCTAGTGGAGAATCTCAAGCTTAAACTCATGTTATTCCCCATTTAAACACACTTTTGGGGAACCCCTAAATGTAAAACTAGTGCTATCCAAGCCCAAGCACCAGACATGTGAGTGCAGATGTCCCAAATGATTCCAACCCATCAACTAGAGTCACCTTCAGACAGTCTACTCTTCCCAGATGACACCCCAGACTTTATGGAACGGAGATAAGCCATTTATGGTGTTTTATGTTTAAATTTCTGTCCCCAGAATTCATTAGCATATGACATCTTATTGTTTCAGGCCTCCAGGTCTTGGAGTCCCACAGCACCATATAGTCAGGGTACACTCTAAGCTGCTTCTCTCTTTCCAGCCCTCACAGAAAGCCCACATACTCATGAGGTTCAACCAACAGCAGGCAATAGTATGTGCCTTTCATGTGCTGAGCCCTGATGTGTGTGAAGTGAGGAGAAAGAGACTGGAGTTTCCAGTGCCAGCCTCCAAGGTTCTTGAGCTAAAGAGACACAGGTTCATAACCATGTGCTCCCTCCCACACTTAAACAAATAGAAGCCATATTAAAGGAGCAAGTCTCATGCCCCAGGTGGGTATGGAGGGGACATCTTTACACTTTGTCCAGATCACACACCAGCAAGGCGCTAGGCATTTCCCACTCTGAGGAGCTATGCTCCAAGGCAGGAAAACTCACACAGGATATAGTTGATTTGTGGCCCTGAAGTTGAAAGCTCTGTCCCTGGCAAGTGCCACAAAGAGGCTGGAGTCTTCCAAAATCTCTTTAAGAGAGTGTTCTAGTCATAATGGAAAGTACACAGTGCTTTCCCAAGTGGCCAAGACTAATCACAGGGAACAGACAAAAGAAGTTTAAAAAGACAGGAGAAAGACCCACAGCAGGCACCTTGGCCAACACATGGAACAAATGAAGGCCACGTTTGTAAATCATGATATCACTACAGAAAATCCTGGAAGATGCTTCCTCATAGCCCCAGGTCTACCCATAATCTTGTCCCCAAACCTGCCTGTTTGGAGGTGAGCCCTAGTCCACTGAGGACACAAAAAGTTCAGATAAGCACTGTTCATGCAGGAGTTAAAGTTCAAACTCCAAGGACTGAGTTTCTCTGGCCAACAATGACTTCACATTCTTGTGAATAAACTATTGACCAGATGCAGGAAGAGAAGATTCATGTGCAAAAACAAGCACAGAGACAAAGATGGGGCTCTGATGTGGAAAATTTTCACAGACAAATCTACCTTGTGGGAGTTGGTAGCTCTGAAGTCCCAGTTTCCCCAAAGCAGATTAGGGTTGCACCTGCCTAATGGGGAAGCTTTGGATTCAGCCCAAAGACAGTGTGTCCTCAGCAGATGACTGCCAGCAAGGTAGGACCCTCAGGCTGCACTGGCTTGGAAGTGTAGCTCAAATATGAGCACTGTCTGGAAAACTAGCTTTTTGGCCCTGGCAAAAATCTTCTCTATCTGTTTTGAATTTAAAAGAAGTAAATGTCATGGGATGATCAGAAAATGTAATTCCACATTCCTTTCCATGTGTCATTGTTTCACAGCAAACCTGGAACATTTGGTTCCTTAGCTTGCATTGACAGCTGATATCTACAAAGAAGGAACTGAGGCAGCAATCGTTACAATCAGTTACAAGGAAAACAAATTACAAGATTACAAATTACAGGAAGATGCTACCCAGCCAGCCCCAGACCCGCTGCCCTCCGCGGGCTCCTCCCACGCCACGTGGGCTGGTGCTATCCTTAGTCCCAGCCCAGTGAAGAGCTGCTGGGGCTGGGTAGTCAGGGGGGAGGCCGGTAGAGAGGAGTATAAAATCCAGTCTTTTGATGCAGAGACCCAGCAGCTGCTGAAAACAGCACTCAAAGATCCAGGTGCTGTGGATTTGGAGAAAGTGGCCAATGTGATTGTGGACCATTCTCTGCAGGACCATGTGTTCAGCAAGGAAGCAGGATGCATGTGCTATGCCATCATCCAGGCAGAGAGTAAGCAAGCAGACCAGAGTGTCTTCCGGTGTGGACTCCTCAACTGGCTGCAGCAAGAGTACCAGACCCGGGAACAGCTGAGAGCACGGTCCATGCAGGGCTGGGTCTGCTACGTCACCTTTATCTGCAACATCTTTGACTACCTGAGGGTGAATAACATGCCCATGATGGCCCTGGTGAACCCGGTCTATGACTGCCTCTTCTGGCTAGCCCAGCCAGGCAGTCTGAATGAGGAGGAGGAGGTAGACTGCTTGGTGCTGCAGCTGCACTGCGTTGGGGAGCAGCTGGAGAAGATGAACGGACAGTGCATGGATGAGCTGTTTGTCCTGATCCGGGATGGCTTCCTGCTCCTGACAGGCCTCAGCTCCCTGGCCCAGCTACTGCTGCTAGAGATTATTGAGTTCCGGGCTGCTGGCTGGAAGACCACCCCTGCTGCCCACAAGTATTACTATAGTGAGGTTTCTGACTAGTTCCGGCTTGGGATTTGCTCCCTGCAGCACTGGCCTCTCCTCAGCCCTCCTTCCAAGCTGGCAGGGAAGTCTCTGCCTCTCCCAAAGGCTTTGCCCTGCGAGATTTACCCACCTTCCCAGTTGCACTGTGATCCTGCCCTGTTCCCTTTCCCCAGCTAGAAGTTGGGGAAATACCAAAGACTTGCTCTCAGCCTCAAGTCTGTCCCCTTTTCCCCCGAAGTCCTATCAGCCTTCTATCACTTCCCACCAAGACCACGGAGAGGAGGGCAATGCCTACTGACCACTGCACTGTATCACCACTGCTGCAACAGGACCTTGTTGCCTCAACTTCCCATCTATAAAATGGGTACCCATAGCCATGGCTACCTTGAGATGCTTCAGGGTGTCAAGGTACAGAGGGAAAACACAAGTTATCCCAGTAACTGCCTTTTCTACATTTTTTAAAGGACCACTGTGGAAATAAGGCTATTTCCTCCAATGAGTTTTAATCAACGATACTTCTGTATCAGAGAGAGGATTTTCTAATAAAGGGCAAGTATCTTCTGATGCTACAGCTTCTTCCTTTCGCATCCAAAGGTCTGCCTGAGCTGAGGAAAGGGGAGACTAGGCCCTGAGTTTCTTAGAGGAAATTTCCAAGTCAGTGTTTCCTCTTTTTTTTTTTTTTTTTTTTGGTACCAGGGATCGAACTCAGGACCTTGCACTTGGGAGGCAGATGCCAGAACCACTGAGCTAAATCCCCGGCCCAGTGTTTCATCCTTATAAGAAGATGGGGCACAGAAAGCCAGTTCCAGCCACACTGAAAAAGGGTCAATGGACAATAAACAGGCCGCTCCCTCCTCAAAAAAGAACTACAAAACAAAACAAAACAAAAAGATTACAAATTACAAGCAAATCAAATCACACAGAAAGGGAACTTTCAGCAGTGTGTTCCTTGGGGGCAGGAACTATTTCTTGTCCCTTTCATTGGTGGCATTATGATACTTTTGCTGAGCAGGGATTCCAATAAGGAGGTGTCGAATGAATGATATGTGCACACATACACAGGTGAGATCACCGTTGATATCACCTTCTTTCTTCAGGATCTGAATTTCAGACCCTTGCCATCTCTTTAACACTAAACCCAAGTCCATCAACATTTCACTTCCCGATCCAGCTCCTTGCCCCTTCAGAGTGCCTATTTCCTGTTGAAAGCTCTACCTTCATGAATAATTACTAGTCAGAAATCTGGATCCCCTCCCCGTCCCCTGAACTGCTTCCTTAGTCTCTCCAAATGTCTCCTGTCTCTGTCCTTCCCTTCTCATGCTCTCTGTCCCTGTCCTACCTTTGGCATTGGGTAGGTGTCCTACCTCCCAGGGTAGGTGTCATGGCTCTACCTCAGAGCTTTGTGGCTGGAACTCCTTTCTTCAACAAGTTCCATTTCCAAGGAATAATATCCAAGTTTTAGCCACGTAGTCAATATCCTTCAAAGCTCCATGCCTACTGAGCTTTCTGCCCCATACCCTGTCCTTATGCCCTCTTTGTGTCTTTCCTATTTCACCCATCTCACTGATAAGAGGCTCCATTCCCATTTCCTATATCTTGACATGAAATCTGTGCTTGAAAATTCAGTTCAATCCCTGCATCCCTCACAGAGTCTCTCAGGACTGCTTCATTGGAAGAGATTATTCCTGTGAGGAACGTGATCCCTCAGTATCTTCCTCTATAGGCCTGTTGTGGTGCTGTTGGCTGGCATTCACATGCTGCTCCATTTTGAGCCTCTGGCCCTTTGTGTTCATGATGTTGGTATTGGCTGGTCAGTCCTAGTGTAGGGCTTATCTCCCCTGAGATGCTGGCACCAGCCACATCATGGGTATCTGTCTCTAATCAATTATTATCTCACCATGCTAAATGTCCCAGTTGTCATATTCCTCAAGGGTGTGCCACTTATTATATCACGTAAGACCCTGCAGTAATCCCCTTCTTTGACTTCTCCAAAGGTTTAGAAGCTTATAGCACACAATGATTCTTTCTTGTTCATGCTTTATCATCAAAATCTAGCACAATGCTTTGCACATAGTAGATGCTCAATATATGTCTCCTGAACTGAGGAAATGACTTTGTAAAATAATAACCATGATGATAAAGACAGGAATCATTTATTGTGTTCTTGTTACCTTTTGTGAGCAGTGTGCCCACTAATCCTCCTAGCAGCCTTCAGGGTTGGGTGTTATTATTTCATGTTACCAGGTATGGAAATTGAGAATTTAAATATTAGGACCCAAGTGGGGGTAACATCTGAGATTCAAGCCCAACTGCATTTGTAGTCCCTGCACATTCTTCCAAATTCCCTTGTTTTTCACATGTGCATCCACAGAGACCTCAGAGGTACAACATTCTGTCTATGTGGGTAACAGAGGCATCCACTAGGGAATACAATTTGAAGGAAAGGGTGAAATAAAGGCTTAGAAACCATCATTCTGTTATTTGTGGACTTTTACTTGACAAAAAGGTGTTGTCTCATATGGAAGGATGATATTACTGGTTAACAATTGGCAGGGACTTATTTGGTGTCTTTAATGTTTATAGTCATCTAGTGATAGCAACAGAAGATAGAAAGATGGTAATCAGGATAAATGTCAGCCCCTTTAAAGTTGACATAAGGGTTAAATGTATGCCCAGATAGATGTATAAATATATCAAATTATTAATCTACAGGCATTCCCATCTTCCATTATATTAGATACTTTGTTTACAGGTGAATTTGTAGGGGAAATATTCAGCTGGCTTCAACTATGTCTGGTGTACAAAATCCGAAATCAGAGTGCCTGAAAAATAAAGTCAAGGCTAATAAATATGAAGGAAATTGATATAAATATTAGTCTGAGCTGGGCACGATGGTGCACATCTATAGTGCCAGCATTCTGTAAGGCACCGGCAGGAGGATGATAAGTTCAAGCCCAGTCTGGGCAAATAAGTGACTTAGTGAGATCCTGCCTCCAAAAACAAAACAAAACAAAATAAAACAGGTTGACTTACAGTTCAGTATAAAGGATCTGGATTCAATCTCCAGTAACTAATACACATACACACACACACACGATCTGAAGAAAAGCTTTGATTTAAACAATCACGATATATTTTTCTGACAATTGTCTGTCTCAAAACAGCAGAATGGCCTCTCAACAAACAGAAAAAGAAAAAGTTAAAAAAAAATTTAGTGCTTGTATACATTTTGCCCTCTTGGTAGTCTAAAATTTACTCAAGAAAAATGTGGTTTATTTTACTGCATTAAGCTTATCAAGCAAATGAATTAATAATGTTTAGAAAACAATTGCTTAAAAACCTCTCTCTTTCCACCAGGTTTTTGGCATATTGTATTTGCTGTTGCCAGAAGTTTTGTAGAAGATTCAAATGCAACCAGAAGTGACAGAGCCTTTGCTTTTATGTATGTACACAACAGACCTCAAAGGTCACTGGCATGAATGAAGTAATGAAGCAAATGTAAGACAGACTGGATGAGTCCATGGACACAATGTTTAATCATAAAGAGACACTAGATTACAAATATAATTTTACCTTTTTTGGTGGGAGGGGGTACCAGGGATCAAACTTGGGTCCTTGCGCTTGCTCAGCAGGCAGCGAAACCACTGAGCTAAATCCCCAGCCCTACAAATATAATTTTAAAAAATACTCAGTTCTTCCCTTTATGCTATGAGCTATTCAGAATGCAGGCTCCTGATCCTTAAACCTCCCACCTTAATCTCAATCAAGTTTCACTTTGTGCCCACTGTGGGTGCCCCCAGATAAAGGTCACATTTTCACCCCTGAAAGACATTCAGATCTTGAAAGTGTTCAGGACTCAATGAGTGGATTCTGTGTGATGCCAGATAGATGTGAGCGCTGGCTGAAGCACTAGAAGGAAAACCTGCAATGTTCCTGCTGACTTAGAAGTGCTGTGCTTCATCCATCTGTAGCTCCTCAGCCTGCAAATGGGAACAATATGAACCCTTACTTGCTGTGAACTGGCATTTTTGTAGCAGGTGTGGCTCTAAATCCCACATGCTTGTCTAGAAGCTTGCATGTTTCTAAAAAAATTTTCATTAGTATATGTTAGCAGTATATAATGAATATATTCATCATGGCCATCGGTACATATACATATCCTGTCCTGGTCCTTTCTACTTCCCCTTCCCCCGTTATCCCTCCTATCTCCAAAAAGCCTGTGTCCTTGTTTCCTGTCTCCTTTCTTTTACTTTGCTCTTTAAATTGTTTATTCTTTAATTTTCTTGTATAAGAGAAACCATATGATATTGAACCTTCTGTGGCTGATTTATTTCACTTAGCGTTATGGCCTCAAGGTGCATCCATTTTCATAAGCATGCATGTTTTAAAAGCATTCCTGGATTTGGTGCTAGTGGAAATAAAATACAATAATTGGTACCTAAGCCTTAGAGATAGGTGGGCCTAGCTTATCCAGACTCTGCAACCAGAAAAAGATGCCAATATCTTGGATGAGCCCTAAAGGTGGCACAAAGAAGGGCAGTTTTCAGACTTGGGGGAAAAAAAGAAGCAGAAGGAGAACTTCAAGCATCTTCAAGATTAAATTCTAAGGATCAGAGTAGTTGCAAGCGGATTTTTCTCTTTGCTCATCAAGGAGGCAGTGACAAGGAAGAAATAAGGTTTTGCCCAAGATTACAGGTTGTATCGACAGGAAGACATCCTTTCCAAACATGCAAGGACAATCCCTTTCTGCTCTGGCACCTCTGCCCCACCTCTTTCATTGCTCCTGGCTGTGCCTGAGTGGGTCTGTGAGGCCACAGTAGACTGAGGAGGGAAAGCCACTTGGGCCACCAGGGGTGGATGTATATTTTGCTTGTAAACTTCTAAACCTCTGAGCAGAAGATATCATGGGGGAATCTTTAAAATGATCCTAGAAAAAAAGTTAGTAAACAGATCTGCAGGAAAGAGCCAGCTGCCTCTGCATTCCAAGCTGCCTGCCCATGAGTTACCCGTGGTGATTTCTCCCAAGGCCGGAAACTGTGGCTGTGTTTACAATGCACTATGTGCTGTGTTCAGTCAAGTCCATGAAATTCGCTGCTGAGGCCCCCAGTGTGAGGTTCTTGGGCCTAACATATTGACGCTATTGTGTGATTCAATCAGTACGGGCTCCTGAGAAGAGGAAACCATTTTTATTGGGGTATAGTTTGAACATAGACAAGAGTAGAGAAAAATGATAGTGAACCTTCACTCATTATCTAGTTTTAACAATCATCCCAGGGTTTTGCTGATCTTTGTTCTCTCCCTCTTTCTGTCTCTGTCTCTCTCTGTCTCCCTC